GTAGACCGCTGCGCAAATGTTGTGGTTGACCTCGAGGTATCGGGGAATGAAAGCGAAAGCGCCCATGTAATCGCGGGGCCTCCAGGGGGTGGCGTAGGGCTTTGTGCTGTCGATGGGGTTGTCACGCATCTGGACAAGAGCACGTTTGAGCACATCGAACTCCTCTTCTGTGAGTTCCGAGGTGTCAACTCCTTCCTCGGGGTTCTCGGCGGCCTGTCGGAAAGCCTCAGTTAAGGCCTCTCCGGGCTGGGATTCGCTGGCAGTAGCAGATTCGGACGCGGATTCGGAAACGTTCTGAGTCTCGTCGGAAGATTGATCTCGCTTAGAGCGTTTGGTGTCTTTCTTCTCCGCAGGCTTGGCCTTGAGGAGAGTAATAAGCTCAGAGAATTGCGATTCCAGGTTGTCAGCGAGAACGGTGCTTGAATCGGCGCGAGAGAGGACACGCTTGACGGCCTTCTGGAATCCACGCAGTTCCTGCTTGCGCTTCGCGGGGAGTACATCCTTACTGCCAGCCATGATGGTCTTGGCCTGGGCCAGCAGGACCTTTAGCGTCTCTCGTGGGTCGTCATTATTCTCCTTTTGACCCTGTTCCTCAGACTCGGCTTCCTTCTTCTCTCCCGAAGCTTCCGCAGCACCCTCCTCCTTCACCTCCGCCTCCGCTTCTTGAGTCTCGGCCGACTTTTTCCGGGCAACACGTCCCTCTCGACGTTCGTGTTTGTCCTTAGGGGCACCGGTTGCATACATGACACGCTCGGGGTCGACCTGGAAAAGATCACCAGGGTTGAGGAGGTAACCGGGGTATCTCATCTAGAGAACCATACGTTTAGTTCACTAAGCCACCTCGACATCTTAATTTAATAAAAGAATAAAAACATACCTGCTTCCCATTAACCGTCACCGCACCGTGAACAACAAACTGTCGAGCCTGTCTAGCACTGCTAGCAAACATAGCTCGAAAGATAGCCACATCCAATCGACGCTCCAGAGGAGCAAATGTCATCTGTGTAAAGGGTGTCAATCGAGGGAAGTCCTTGGTACCCTCCACACCTGCTCCACGACCAGCGGACATCCCGGAGCCGTCGTCCTGGGCTAATCTAGCTGGGCTCATGGGCACGACGCTGCGAATGCGGCGGGAGAACATGCGCGCCCATTGGCTCTCGCGGACTTGTTCACCATGGTATGATCTGGCCATGGACTTAGCGGTCCATTTTTGTTGGAAAAATGTTTTGCTGCCGGTTGGAGGGTTACGCAGGCGCTGCAGGTTGAATAGGTTATATTTGCTCCATGATTGTCGGATTTTCTAAACAGATTGGCATTAGCTGCTGAGAGAAAAAAAATTCAAGAAGACAAATACACAAGGGGAAGCTTACAGGCTTGCTCAACGGCGTAGTGGCCCTGTTCCTCATGATGGCGAGTCGGTTGGGCGTGACCTTGATACTATGTCCTGCTGTTCATCCAGCGATCTTGCGGCCAAAACTTCGCATATGGCACGTGATAACTTGCACATGACCTTTCAACTAATTTAATGCCATGTTTGTCAGGCAGTAAGGAACACAAAGACTTGCCGGTGGTAATGGTTCATGATTGGATTTAAGGGCCTCGCTTGTTACTAGCGTGGCTTGCTGACCCCACCCACTCCTATAAGTTCTCCAGATACCCGACACCCTTTTGAATTTTTCTTCTTTCTTTTCTTCATACTTACCTTGTTTGGGTGGCTGCGATCAAGAAGGCGGTCCACCACGGATTGGTCCCTGCATTGCACAGCGCGGCGGAACAATCCGTCCAACGGCCTTCGGGTCATTGGCAGGCGTATTCTTTGGCTCCTTTCCACTTGGTGGAATCATTCTCTTTTCATCATCTCTCCGCCTTGAGCGGGGGTATGGAGAAGAGGGTTACTGTCCATGTAGTTAATCTGTATCACAACCCCGTTACCATACTATCGCTCTCTGACTCGTATCCCTTTTTAATACATTTCTTGTCTAATTCTAATAGCATGCTATTTTATTTTTTTTTTCTTAAGTTATCGATCGCCCTTTTGGTGTCCCCCTATTCCTTAACGAGAACCCTAAATCCAATATAATGCCCGTCGTAGTACCCGTCATGTATCATCATTACGGTCATTCCATCGTGTATATCTATCTACCTGCTCTTCTCTAGACTGTTCTATTCCTGCTGCTTTGAACTCGGGAACGCTTCGAGCAGAGCCTCGGCCTCTTGAGGATTCACAGCGTCGTCCAAAATCTCGTGGGCCATCTCTACCGTTTCATCCTCGATACCGGCCTCTAGTATCTGCCCTTCACTGAACGCGAGTCGCGTCAGCACCACTAAAAACTTCTGTTTGCCTCCCGCTACTCGGCTGAGCTTCGACTGGAGATCGACGTGCTCTGGATGTCGACGGATCACCCCGTACACTAGATGCATCAACCCATTTACTAACGCTGCGTGCAACTCCTTTTCGGGAGGTGATGCATACAAGGCATCTAGTTCGTCGTGCATGGCTCGGATTAGTCGTGCTAGCGCTGTAGAGTGTGATGCAATGACCATGCTGCCGTGAGTACTAGCGGGGGCCTCTTGATTGAAAGCTACCAATGTCAAAAGAGACAAAGCCTCCAGCCGCATATCACAAATCTCTGAAGCCATATAAGGGGGCTGTCCCTCGTCTACCTGTGGTATCTCACTCAGAAGGTTCGCCACGCGATCAACGATGTAATTTTCGTTTGCGATCTGGTCCTGCTCCGTGTCCTGAACAGAACCAAAAGACTCGATGCGAATGCTGGTAGATAGGAGGTTTAGGGTTAGGACGATGTCGCTTATGGATTGCGAGCAGTTTAACATCATCAGAATAAAGTCGTAGCGCATGAATCGCCAGAATTGCTCCAACACGCGGTCGATATGTAAGCATGAGCAAGCAATTTGGTACAGGAGGCCCAGCGCCTCAGTCGAGTTTACAAGAGGCTGTAGCTCAGACAATGGTGTCTGTCTGACCTGCCCAAAATTTTGCCGCGAAACGGGGGAGTGTTTAAACCGGGGGATGCCGTTAACTTCCCCGGACTCTTGTAATAGCGGGACTAGGTGCTCGATCAACTCGGAGGCAGACGACAGCGCATCCAGAGCCAAGACGTGCCGCATAATCCCCATGAAAATGGGAACGGGGTCGAAGAATTTTTCGCGCAAAGCACGAGACCATAATGAGATTATAGCCCGTGCGTATTCTAGCAAATAACTACCGATATCAAGGTTTGCCACTTCCTCCAATAGAATTGACGACAGTGTTCGCTGAGGCTCTGATGGGAATGTTAATCTAGCCATCACTTCAATATCACTGTTTTCGTTGGGGAATGTTCGATGATTCAATAGGCGCTTGACCAACTGCGAGCTTTGATCGTCGACATGCGCGGTTCGTTTCGGTATGGCTTCATCTAATGCATCGTCCGACATGTCACCGGCAGCAGTTTCGACATGCATAGGCTCCGGCTGTGGGCTTAATTCAAGTGGTATCGGGCTATCCTCGCTGAGCCTCCTCTTCCGTTTATCACCCACTGTCGGGCTCATTCGCTTATACCGCGTAGATTTGCTGGGAGAGACGGCAAGGATCTCATCGTCATCGAAGCCATCGCGGAAAGGCAGGGCTTTGTGTTTCTTTGGTGTTCCTGGAGCTGGTTTTTCCTCTGTCCGGCCTTTCGTTTTCAAATTGCTGATCCGCATGGACTCTTCGGCAAGGTCTTGCTTAAGAAATGCATTCTCCGTGGCTAGCATCTTGCCTTCTGCACGTGCGGCCTCTACTTCTTCCTTGTGCCTAGCTACCTCCTCAGCCATCGCCTTCCGCAGGGCGGCAACCTGACGTTCATAGTTTTCCGCAAGCTTCGCCTGGTTTGATCGGATGATAGCAATTTCCCCGGCTTTTGTTTCTGCCATAGATCTGGCCGCTGCCAGCTCTTCCATCATTCGCTTATACCGTTCATTCTCCGCTGCCAGCTATTGTCAAGAATTAACTCTGCAGTGATGCAGTCCAGGGATCTTTGACGTTACCGTATCGTTTATCATGGCGTAAGCTACATGGTCACGCTTAGAGTGGGAAGCTTTCCCTTCAACCTCCATGGCCTCGGGGTAAGCTTGTTCACCCTCTCCTTCCGGGTTGGCAACAACCTGGTAGGAGCCAGACTGCTCAGTAGGTACAGCTGGTTGATCCAGCCCATGCATCGACTCCGTCTCATCTTCGAGAACCACCGCATCCAATTCCCCTACATCCAAAGCGCCGTAATCGCTGGTCAATCCCGTGTGGAAATGCGCCGGGGGGTTTAATGAAGCATTGGAGAGGAAGGTCTGCTCGGAAGCTGCAGCTTGGAAATTATGACTAGCAAAAGCTCGAGAGGGCTGGCCTATTGCCGCTGTAGTCTGAGATTGGGGCTGTGCAGCCTGGTTTGCTAAGACCGCGTTCTGTTCCAGCTGGAATAATGTGCCCGGTGGCAGATCTTCGAAGCCATCATCGGAGAAGAAATCATCATCGTTTTCTTCCATGCCCTAAGATGCACGATCGCCATGAATGAGAGAATGAAAGGCGAACGTGGCGTATGAAATGAAGGAATGGCTGCAGTAGATAATGGGGATTCAATTGTTGGGGTTGTAAGCAAAAAAAAAAGCAGGGGAAAATAACGCCTGACGTAGTAGCCGGTCAAAGTCACGCTGCAGCCACGGGACCTCATCTCCCTCTTCTTCCTACTCCTCCACTCCTCCACTCCCTCAATATCAACCCTGCAATTTGAACCGCTGTCAATTAAACATTGACGGGAAATTGCTTGTTGAGTCCTACCCAACGGTGTCTCGCTCTCCGTTTTTTCGTCCGTGCTTCCGCCGACCGTATTCGGTCGCTATTTCACATGAAATTTTAATCTATTAACGACGATCACCTGTGCTCACTCTCTTCTCTTTTCCCTTTCTCACTCCCATTCTCCTCTTCGCCCTCCCCTGTCGTACCTTTCCTTGTCGGCCCTGTCCCGACCCCCAGTTCCCCTTAGGATCTTCTTCTAGACTTTCCCCTCCTTCCCCACGCATACCGCTTGGGTACCGCGCCATTCTCCTTTCTCCCACCCGGCTCATTACACCATGTCCAAACCACGTCGGAACGTCAGGTTCCCACATCGGGCGTCGGAAACTCGTCGGTTAAGTATCTCAGATGCCAGCGATGCCGCTTCTGAACCCGGAAGTCCGTCAAAGAATGGCAGCGTGTCCAAACCCGAGACGATTGTCGAAGAGGTGAGCGGCCCGACTTAATGTTGTTAGGGGACTAATCAGTGTAACACCGCCAGAAACCCGAACAGCCGCAGATGTCCGATTATGAGAAAAAGAAGCAGACCTTCATTACTCGCACAATATGGACTTTCGTGATGATCTTTGGTTTCTTTATTGCCATGTTCTCAGGCCACATCTACATCATTGGCATCGTTACCGCAGTTCAAATCATCTCCTTCAAGGAAGTTATCGCTATTGCCAATGTGCCGAGCAAAGAGAAGAATCTCCGTTTCACCAAATCGTTGAATTGGTATTTCCTAGCCACAACCATGTACTTTTTGTATGGTGAAAGTGTCATCTACTATTTTAAGCACGTCCTGTTAGTCGACAAGGTGTTACTTCCTCTTGCGACTCACCATAGGTTCATCAGCTTCACGCTCTACGTCATGGGTGAGTTGTTTCCCCCTGTTCCAGAGTAACAGAGCACAGACATTTAAGGTTCTAATGCGAGAGTGTAGGATTTGTCTTCTTTGTTGCATCTTTACAGAAGGGACACTACCGGTTCCAATTTACACAGTTCGCTTGGACTCACATGGCACTTTACCTGATTGTCGTACAAGCGCACTTTGTTATGAACAACATTTTGGAGGGAATGATATGGTTTTTCCTCCCAGCGTCTCTGGTCATTACCAACGATATTTTTGCCTACGTTTGCGGAATCACGTTTGGCCGGACCCAATTGATCCAACTGTCTCCCAAAAAGACTGTGGAAGGGTTCCTCGGTGCTTGGATTTGCACCATAATCTTTGGCTACTTCATGACCAATGTCCTAATGCGCTACAAGTACTTCATCTGCCCGGTAAATGACCTTGGATCCAACGTACTGACGGGGCTGGAATGCACCCCAAACCCGGCCTTTATGCCCCAGCCGTACCAAGTTCCGGAGTGGACCGGAGTGGACAAGACCTTTTACATCGAGCCCATACAGTTCCATATTTTGATATTCGCTACATTCGCCTCCCTAATTGCCCCTTTCGGTGGCTTCTTCGCTTCCGGGCTTAAGCGAACCTTCAAAATAAAAGATTTTGGCGAATCGATCCCGGGTCATGGCGGTATCACCGATCGGATGGACTGCCAGTTCATCATGGGCTTCTTTGCGTACATGTATTACCATAGCTTTATTGCCGTGTACAAAGCTACTGTTGGAGACGTCATTGAGACCGCCATCAACGGCCTGACGGTCGAGGAGCAATTGGAGGTGGTCCGAGGATTGGGCAAGTATCTGTACAACCAGGGTACTGTTTCCGAAACGGTCAGTATACCCTCCAATATCCTTTTATGAGAATTCATTATATACCAGATAACTAACAACATGTAGATCTTGGAATGTCTTAACACTGAGCTCAAGCGCCGATGAAGAACGTTGGATGATGACCCATGCCATTTCCATTCTACCTTTCAGTGATGAAACCCGACCCCCTCCCGACTTACTCAAAATTTCGGAATTTTAAAAGTAGCGACTCATATTTTAGAATACCATTTTTAATCGGTCGTTATTCGACATCGCTAGAGCCCTTTAACGAGCTTCAAACGAAACTTCTTCCTCAACGGTGGCTACCGAACGTCTGTCTTACCTTACGCTTGTTCTCTCTTCTTGCCTTCACATTGGGTCATTGTTGTATAGTGTCGGGAAACTACGATCAGAAGGTTAGGTTCATGTCTAGATACACGTGCGAAAGGGGGTATTGTATTTTTTTCTTTCTTTCCGTATCATATTCTGGTATGTCAAGCCGCCATTGTCTGACGGAACGAGACTGGCGTCTAAATGGGCAATGTAAAGTCCTTCATATATAAGAAATATATGTTCATCAATTACTGGGTTATGCGCAGCAGCCGTACCTGTTGTACCGACTAGCTCAACGAAGTTCCTAACCAGTATTCTATGAACAGGTGACTCGGATATATATACTATCCTGAACAGTGCCTTTTCACCGGGAAGTATTGGGCAGACTCCACGGAATATCCGATGCACGCTGGTATCGAATCGTTGGGTCATATCATTGTAGGGGTCAATCACTCCGCTTTCCCCATCCTATCTTTGGCGTTCAGCGTGACGGGGATGCTTTGCCTCTTGCATTTTTGGCCTAGCTTTAAAGGGTACCCTTCGAATTGGTGCCACTCTTCCACCTCTCGAAATCCAGGTAGACGCCGGCGTATTTTTGTTCGGCGCCAGTAACTGTCGCAAAATTAGCTGGCGAACCGATAGAATCAGACGTGCAGACTGCGGGCAGTTCTGCACTTGTCGCAGTATGCTAGCCGTATAGGGTAATGTAGCTATGATGCAGGGATTTGGCAGCTCATTCTTCCACTTCGTACTCTTCCATTTCGACCTTGAAATACTCGGAAACACGGGCCTTCTCTGCATCCGCACATTCTGTGTCGAGCATAAAGCGTACGGCTCCATCCCGACCTTTCTCGCCGGCTCTGGGTCTTTCCCCATTGGCAGCGACAGGTGTAAGCGGATGCAGCCTGGCGCCTGCTTTCTCCAAGGCGGGCTCCTTGCCGCTCTTTGCGCCATTAGCAGCTTTTAGGTCTCTTGACTCATTGACCCAGTGTGTGTAACGAGGGAGTCCTTGGGCTTCTGCCTCTTTGTTCAATGGGATACGAACTGTGAGGAATCGATCCGCTGGGAAATGAGGGCCGACTGAGGTGGAGCCACGACTGTGGGTATACAGCTCCAGTAGGTCAAAGAGGGTTTCTGATCCGATAAGTGAGTGCTCCAGTATAGAGTATTTGCGAGGAGCACTTACCCATTACTTCTTCCCGGCTGGTCTTCCACTTCTCGTAGTCTATTCCCAATTCGACCGCCTCAATGCGCTGGTCCAACAGACGACCTGCCAGTTCTAAGCAGGTAAAAGCCATAGTTGACGCAGTCTGCTTGATTGGAGCAAAGGTACGATAGAGGTCCTGCGAAATTCGATATGCCACATTAGACACCTGCGACTGCGACGTAAGGCCATAATGTCTGGCAAGCTTGATCAGGGTTTTCTGCGGGTGACGTGTCCGAAAATCAAAGCCTGACGCCTCGAGCATAAGCCTCTCCAATCCAATGATACCTCTAGCATGTACTTCGAAGACCTTAGAAGTGTTAGCGAGAGACCAAGCGCAACGCAAACGCAAACCTTACCGAATTATCAGGGGATATATGTTCTGAAGGTGGTAGTTTGAGATTATATGCTGCACACACAATCTCCCGGGACTTCTTCAATGTGTCCTCAATCTTGCAGGCGGTAAACAATGCAGCCGCAGCAGCATCCTAGACGGTCAGATGATTTTACCTACATAGGTGTGTAGGGGTGGTAGTTACCATATAATTATACTCGCTGTCAGGATGAACGAGTCGAAATTTGTGATAATACACCACAGCCGTGTTGAAGGTACGGATAGGTCTAATCCATTAGCATATTCTCTTTCCCTTCAAAGCACGTTGCTGTTTCTTTTGGTGAATGACGAATAATGGAATGGCCAAGTAGACGCTACTGAATACATACAAATATAACACTCGGCGAACATTGTCGATCCACGTTACTCCCTGCAGGCGCAGTGCTTCCTCGCGTAGGGGATTGACGCCCATAGCCGCAATACATTGTTGAATAGTCTGCTCGAATATGTACGGCTTGGCTACTTGGATGAAGGAAGGATGAATGGAAGGCGGCTCCGGTATGCTTGTCTCCGACGCGGCTTGATTGTTCGAGCCATCCTTCTTCTCCGGCACCATACTTGCGAATGTACTAAAATCTCCGAACAACCGGACGGTGATGTTCGAAAGGATGAAATGATAGCCTTGGGATGGAGGAGCGTGATTGGAGACGACTTCGAGTCACGTGTAGTTCGCGGAAAAACTGTTGTTCCGCTGTTTTATCTAAACAACATCCGAACAAAGAGTCATAGATACTATTCATGGACAAATCTCCATTAAAGAAGGGGTAGGAGGTGCAAGATTATAAAGTGAAGGAGTTTGTATTATATGGTTCCTGCAATTCTGTTTGCTGATGTGGGTCGCAGGTTAAGTGAATAACAGTTATCTTACTGGTGCGGCTGAACATATATAGATACTGTACTCTGTAGTAGTGCTAGAAACAGGATATTAGGGTTTCCTCCATGTTTCTTTGGCTCCAAGTCAGATAGAATTTACGGCACTCCCCTCCCTTCACGGGTAGCTTTCGCCAACTCACTCTGGGCCACATTGTCCGCATACCGCTTATAGACTGGGAGGTAGTACTCCTTTGCACTCGTAGTTTCTCTCACACTTCTCCTATCCTCTATCGCTTTTAGCCACTTCCTCCACCGCTGCCAAACAAGCTCATCCTCCCCCCCATTGCCTTCCGCCGGGATGCCAAGCCCACCCGATTTGTATTCATCGAAGACCCACAACCGGACCGCCCATGGGGCGAGTACCAGATCTGGCAGTGCAACCTGATCTCCCAAGAAGAATGGTCCGTCGGCATGCATTTCCCTAGTCCACTCCTTGAGGTGGCCCAGGAACTCCTGTCTTAGTCTCTCCAAGCCAGCTGCTGGGTCTTCACCTCCTGACTTGGGCTGGTATTGAAGAAATCGATGGAAAGCCGGGATAATCCGCGAGGTAACATAGTCGATCCAGATGCGTACTCGGGCCCTGTCGTAGGGGTCCGCTGGGAGGAGGCGTGGAGAGCTATCTGGATAGGCCTCCTCGAGGTACTCAAGAATAACTGTGGATTCATACAGGGGCTTGGCTGTCTGGGCACCCCCGTCTTTGACCAGGCAAGATAATGTTGGCACCAGACCGCGCGGGTTCAGTGAGAGAAGCGACTGGGGCTTGTGATAGGGGTTGACTTCGATGTATTGGTAAGGGATTTGTTTCTCTTCTAGCGCGAGCCAAACCCGTTGGACTTGAAGAGGTTAGCCAAGATTGCAACTACTAGACATGCCGTGCATATTTTAAGGCTCACAAGTGAGACACACCAAAGCTGTCGTCCAAGTCAGTAAATTTGCCTATCGTACGGATTAATAGACACAAGCTGGTACTAAAATAAACTTACGGACAAAACCACCCTGCATACAGCTTCAATGGTTGCTCCGCACGGTGATTGTCGACTAACGCTTTGGCTGCCCCTGTTGCTTCAGGGTGGACTGCTGCATCTGGAAGGGGGGGCATGTTGGAATTCTACAAGTGCGGCCAAGAGAGAAAGCAGACAGACGGGGAGAGAGAGAGAGAGAGAGAGAGAGAGAGATGAACTGCAAGTTGGCAGATGCGGGGGGAAATCTTCACTTACTACGTAAACAGTTGTGTCCTCCTTAAATACTGCGTTATTACTTCACCATGCTGAGTCAGTATGTACGATGGTGTCATCGGGTCACAAGATTATTAATTCGCTCGGAGGCAAGGACAAATACCGGGTGATTTCACTATGTAGATCTATCTAGTAGAGAACGACAGTATCTGAAACCGGAATATGCCACGCCAAAAAACCCCAAAAGATGCCAAGAAGCAACTGCTTCGACTAATTCCCATATTTCCCGATCAAATTCTGCATGATTGACACCGCTCCCGATCGATACCCAGCCCCGAAGATGGCGTAATGATTTAGATGGTGATATCTGACCTGGTTAGAAAACCCGTGGGCCTGGGTTGGACGAGGGGGAAGAGAAAAAAAATAAGAATAAAAATAAAAATAAACCTACAGCTCGTACAGCCTCACCCGGTCTTCATACTCCTCCACCGGCTCAGTCCTAGGGACAATCTTATGGTAGGCAGTGAAAAATGCCGGCCCAAAGCCTCCAAACATCTTCATGATTCCCAGCTCATACTCACTATGCGCATAGCATGCTGATGGATCGTAGACAACGTCGCCCGCCTCTTCATCTCCCTTGCACCCACCCCCCACAATCCTTCCACGGTCTGCATTGCCACTCCAGAGATCCCCATGGACAACCGCGGGTGTAATACCTTCTCCGTTTCCATTCTTGTCGTAGCCTAGATGGCCATCCCCTAGAAGGGCGGGTACTACTGTGTGTGCCGTCCGCTCCACTAGATCTCGTAGGCTAGCGTCTCGGCCATTGCGCTTCTCCGAGGTTTCCAGAATCGCCATCAACCGTTCATTGGCGTAGAAGTCTGCCCATGAATCGTGAAATCGATTGGGTTGCTTAGTATCACCACAGAAGGTCGGCACGGGGAACCCGAAACGGCGTTTCCCCGTCTCAGGATCTAGCGGGGCCGGGGTCGAATGGAGTTTTCCTAGCCTTTGAGCCAGAGATTGGCCCGTCCGGCCACCACCCCCCAGATCCAGGAACTCAGTCGCTAGGTAAAAGCTCTTTCCGTTGCTTTCTTCCAGAGGGCCCCAAGCTAGAGCGCGGGGACAAAATCCCGGTACGGAGGTCGCTATAGCATTTAAGGACTCATATTCCCCTCGGAACATCTCTTCAGCAGCTTTACCATCTGCGGATGTTTTGACAAAGTATCGTCTCTCTTCCTCATACTGTCCATCTGCAGATGGTACTGTTGCTCGAATGGTTCCTGTACTGGTGAAACCTGATCCCAAACCAGCAGTGGACAAGCTGGCTTTGGAGGGATCGGAGATGGAGAGAGCACGCAACAGCGATGCGGGGACAGGGGCCATGACTCTTGTTTGGTAAGAAGATGCTATGTGAGTTAACCTGGGAGATAAAAAGAGGACGGGAATTGATGGCGTTATGTACCTGAGAACTCGTTCCTTGCCAGGGGATTGATTCGCCGGAAATGCTTTAAGCCAAAGCCGTTCCCATGACGTATCCGGTCAGGTCCCACTTCTTTATCTTATCGATAAGATAAGATAGGTACATACAGGTATGTACAAACATACATAGATACTCATAGATACTAAGTGCTCCGTGCAAATACCACACTCGCCCAACTGAATGCATGGTATTTCCAGATAGGACAAAGCCTTAAACGTTTCCCAGTCATCAAGGATGGAAGAGAAATGGAAAGAAACAAGAGAAAGGGGAAGAAATTTTGTACGCATAAGCCAACATGTACATTTTATCATAATCCTTTCAAGATCTTTATACAACCATCCCAACGCCGACCATAGTTCATAGAGCTGTGCCTGTCCATGCAGCATGAAAACAAGCAATCAAGAGATCGTAATTAAACGGAAGATGGCAAAAGAGAACCCGGAGAAGAAAAATAAAAAGAGGTAGAAGAAGGTTGACAACCATTAGGCCTGGGTCAAGGTCCTTACCAAATGTAAGGCTGTTTTGGTTCGCTCTCGGACATCAAGGTCTGGGTCCTCTTCTAAGCGCTTCAACCGGTCCATCACCCCAACCGAGAGCAGTTTGTATGCTCGCTCACGGCAGCCGTCTCGATCACTCGAGTCATCCTCATATGTGAGATTGATTACTACCCACACACAATTTGTCCGCACATCCCGGTTGGCGTGCTCGAAGTACCCCATGAGATAACGTAAGAGATCACGGTGTGAGACCAAAAGTTGGCGGTGCCACGGGAGGCTAGCGGCGAGGTGGATGATCACATACGTGACTGCCACCAGAATCTCTGTTGGAACTTGGAGAGCTCTGTGGGAAGATGATTCTCGTTTATGTGGCACTTGGATGGTACGAGGCCGTAGTTTATCCGCCAGTGCATCCAAGATCAAATCCTGCCCGATCTCCTTGAACAAATGATCAATCATCTCGGATGCACCCGGGCCACAAACAAGATTACGCAAGAGATCAAAAGTCTGTTCCTGTACGGCAATATCGTCTTGGCGTGCTTGAGTAGTTTGGTCGAGGTCCCCATGCAGCGCAAGTTTGCGACGCCGGCTAACATCGGGGAGGAACATCTCTAAGCTCATCTTAGACGGCGGCAAGGTATCGGCCATTTTCATATCCTCATCGCGTTCCTGTGTGTCCTCGACAGGATTCAATAGATCAACTTGTTCACCTGCGGAGTTGGCTCGACTCATGCCCGTTGAGGTGCCGCTTTCCATCTCATCATCCATGCCTCGTTTAGCTAGAGCACTAGTTGGGTCTTGCGTTATGATTTGCTGGATCCACGTAGGTCCCAAGCCGTTAATGACTTTCATCTTGACATCGTTGGTCGAGTTATAGGCCACATGCTTCAACGCCCAAAGCGATTCAATCCGGAGCTTTGTGTTCGTAGAATGTGCATGCTCACATAATGTTGGAAGGATCTCTGCGGATATAATTGCCTGGAAAGCATTAGTACAACCTCCGCGCACCGAGCCACTGTATGAGTTTACCTCTTTCATTGGGCTAAAGTCCAGCGCAAGATTACATATAACTGACGTTGCTGCAATCTGCACTTCAATATCCTGGTGCCGAATCAAGGCGAATAAAGGAGTGGCTACTCCAGCGTCAATAAGACTAGTCCTTAATACGCTAACCGAGCGAGTGAGCATCCGTGCAGCACCACAAGCTGCTAATAGGGTGGGTGTAGGATTTCCATCAGCAGCGGTGTTTTTCGGATTCGATGTGTCTCGAGGATCGTTCGGGCACGGTTTGAGCGAATCGATGATATAGGGAACTACCCCATTGTCACAGATAGTCTTGCGGTATTCATCCTTGAAAGGCACCAGGGCGGCCAAGGCCTTGAGAATGTTCTCCCGGTATCGCATGACATGACAATGAATGGGAGAATATCCTGGAGGACCCAGCATACACTCTGCTGATTGTGTGCAAATAGTCTCGACCTTTTCCCCGCCATCGACATGCCACATCGGTTTAGCGTTCTCTTGAATTGGGTTATAGGTTTCCTTCAGGAGCTGAGACAGTCGTTTAATAGCACCTCCATCGACTGCATGCTTCTGTAGCTCTTGATCGTCGATAACCAGTGTAGCAAGCACCGCCGGGGCTTCCTCTTTCAGACGGTCAGTGGACAGAATCAGTCCTCCATACTGGACGCCATCATCGCCAGTTATTTCATAGTCCTTGTCAAGCATCCGGATAAGAATTGGAATCAACAAGTAACAAAGCATAGAGACTCGAAGCTTCTTCGTTAGACCTAGACGGTAAAGAACTGTGACCAGACGTGCTGCCATCAACCGCACCATGCCACACTCGGCACGGATGGTATATAGAAGCCAAGGGACGATAGCATTCTCATCGTCATCAGAGTTCGGTGCCTCCAAGATCGAGAAGGGGGTTGGGAATGAATGACTATGCCGGCGTTGGGGTCCATGTGGCTGACCAAGGGGTGGAAAATTGGTAGCACTAGCAGAAGCTTTTCCTTGAGACAGTGGAACCGATGGTAGGAGATGCTCGAGGGGGCTGGCCCCGGCGTGGCGTGGCACAGCTGAGCCCGAAAAATATGTCGATCCCCACGGGCCTGTCTTGATATCAGAAGGGGCAAATCCAGGCACCTGCTTGGGGAAAACAGTCACTATTCCCGGCGATGAGAGAAAATGCTCCGCACGCCATTTAGAATGTTCAATGATGACCGTGGTAGCACGAAGGATCGGAGCCAGCTTGGCACTTGAAGGTGCAGGGGGAGGTAGAGAACCAAGAGAGCCAGACTCCTGCAAATGTGCCTCCGCACCTGGAAGTACAAAGCCCTGAGCAACGACGAATGATGCCACCTTCACAGCCAGCGCATCCAACACGCCACAGTCGGCTAGGACCGCCTTATGGGTTTCCTCTGTGCAAAGCTTTCCGATAAGGGCCGCAGCAAGTTCAATGGATGTCTGCGCATGATAAGTGCCGTACTCCTGCCCGAGAATACGTGACAGGCAGCTGATATGTTCGTCTGAGAAGAGCAGATCGGCTAAACGTGTATCTTTTGGCCATTGCTGTTGGCTTTGCAGTGGTAGCCGATCCGCGATGTTATTCAGGGTTCGCAGGATGGGGAGAACGAAAGATTGAGGGCAATCGGGTGATGATAATATAGACAGGAGGATCGAGAGTATACCGCTAGATAGGATAGGGGAAAGGAAAGCTGCACCGCCTGATTGAGAATGGTCATCAGTTCCTGAGCCAGAGCGAAGGACAGGACTCCCAGCGTGAGAGAAATACCTTGTGCTATACTACCAAGTACTATAATTGCCTGTAGACACGTTTCATCTTCCTGCCGATTGCGACTCGATGGCTGTTGGCTTTTGGTCGGCCCATTGAGCTCGGTGTTCTTCCCGCTAGTCTGCCTGGAGGCAAGGACCTTGGCTAGTATGGGGATTATACCCCACCGGATCCAGGCTTCTTTGCGTTGATCATGGCCAATTGTCTCATTTTTAAGGGTTCGAAGCGCCGAAGCCTGCGATGATAAGGAATCTGCGCTTTGAAGTTCTAGAAGTATCGGAGGTGTTGAAGCGCGAGTCATGGTCGGAAATCACCGCCTCCCGCGGGAGGATGTCTAGCAGACCGCTTTGGTAAATAAACGAGTTAAGTAGTGAATAAAAAGAATTAGAATACGGGTGGAATAGTCCGAGGGGGATTAGAAGGGGGGTGGATAGATGTTGCCGAATCGAAGTGTTGATGCAGGGGAGGGGTTTTGTACAAGTAGCAAGGTAAGTCGTAGCGGGCGATGGTATACGAAGGAATGGCGTCTAATGAGCAGCTAAGTACATACAGTACCTAGCGTATGGAGGGGTCGTTATGTACTATTATTGTAAGATAACGCAAGAGGAACTAGGCGAAGACTATGGGAACAGACAATGAAGAGAGAATGAAGCGATGTATAACGGTAAACCCTCGACACCGATTCAAAGAAGCTGACATCCGACCGATTTCCTTCTATGAGATGTTGCTGCTGGGAGCTTCCTTAAGGTTAGCGTTACCCTTAACGGAGTATAACATTACAGAAAGTAATGCCGATACCGTCGAGTCACCGCTTTCGGCTCCCCAGGTCATGTGATGTCACTCGCCCAGGCGGGGGTTCAGTTCCCCCGAGTTCCGGATATGGGCTAATGTCAATTTCATCATGTGATTCAGCCTTATAGCAGCAGCCTTTACTGACGGGCGGGTTGATCGAAAGGGTCTCACTTTCACTTCTAGTATTCTTCCAGGGAGTGTTCACCGTGAGACCAAACCCCTGTACTTGACCATTTACCCGGTGCTGGTCTGAGGGGCGTTATAGGCAAGGTATCAGTGTATATTGCAGAAATAGATGTTGAACCTGCAGATTTAGGAACGGATGGTGGCTCCTATAGTGGCATAAGATCCCTCGATCTGCTCTTTGCACCTGACCCACGGAAATGGCATGGATGGGATGTTTTGTATACGAGGATGAATTATCCCAAGCTCTCCTGATATTCTACGGCGTACGGGGTTCGTCGGGCAGAAATCCGGTGTCCATTTTTACCCCTTAGTGCGTTACGCTTATTGAATAGATTTTTTGGTGGTACTCCGTACTGTACACAGTGTACAAATGCATGATGACAGTCCTGACCATCGCGGACCCGGGAACTCAATTGTAACGGGACGGTAACGTTCCTTATCCGTCTTGGATTCTATCCCCTGTTGAAGACCTCCGATTGGATAATGGTAGAGAAAATCGTTATGTCTGTGACATATTCCCTGATTTTTGCCTGAACAATTTCTGCAGCTTTACCTGTATTGTAGGAGGGAATTTTTTTTTTCTTTTCTTTTTTTAAATAATTTTTTTTCTTTTTACTTTTTCTCTTCTTTTTTTAAATTACCTAAATATGCCCCCCCGTTAATTCCTTTCCCCTCTTCCCATCTTCTTTCCTTGGAACAGTTTTCTATTGTTAAAATAGTTGTTCCTCATCGCTTTCTATATTCAGCTTCTTCTATAGAGCTGAAGCCCCGCAGATCACGATGCGCCAGGGCACGCGGCCATTCTTAGCAGCAGCAGCACAAGGTTTCGCAGCGTCTGCCAGCCCCGTTGCACGTCGTTCAGTCGTGCGCCCACGTGGTGGTATCGTTGGGCGGAGATGCTAGTTTCATCGCCCTCTCCCTCCTCCGCCCTTCGCCCTTCTCCCTCCTCTCCTCCCACTCGCCCTCATCCCTCTCTCTCGTCTCCTCTTCCTCGTCACTCGTCGACGACTATTTCACATAACCAGCATTATGAGCCTGCCGGTAACCCGACAGCTGCGCCCGGTAGTCACTTCTCTCCTCGTTCTTCCCGTGTGGCCATCGAAGAGCTTCGTTCAGCTCTAAATCGACACACCGTTGCCTCGTCCCCTCCGGGGCCCTCAGGGGATCTCCCTTGCGGTCGCATGTCCGCTGGGCTGACCTCCCTTGGGGGCGGAAACAGCACTGCCGCGTCTACCGCTGAAAGCGCCGCCGCAGCCGCCGCCGCCGCCAATACCAACACAAATCCTTCAGGTGCCCCTTGTTATACCCACAATAACGGCCCTGCTGCTGTAACTCAAGCCCAGGCCTCCGCTCCCGCTCCCACACAACACCCCGTGGCCGCCTCAATGCCCGCTCCAAATAGCGCCGGCACAGGGTCTAATAAGCGTAACAGTCCGAACGACCCTGTCGCTAATGGTGGGCTTGCAAGCGGGATCGGGAGCACGGATTTGGAGGGCTCGCAATCGAAGCGGCTGCGTCCCTCCAATCCCACAGTCAAGTTGCTGCCGGCTCAATATGAACTGGCTGATCCTCGGGATATCGTTGTGCTAATCTCCAGCATGCTGATGGAACTCATTCGGTTCAATGACAAAATCCCGCTCCACCAAGGTCGACTGACTCGCTTTCACTCTCGATCTCCTCCGCGGATTTCCGTCAATGACTACCTGCAGCGATTGACCACTCATGCCACACTTTCACCCCCGATCTTGCTGAGCATGGTGTATTATATCGACCGTCTTTGCGCTCTTTATCCAGCCTTTACCGTCTCTAGTCTCACCATTCACCGATTCCTCATTGCCAGTGCAACAGTTGCGAGCAAAGGACTGAGCGATAGTTTCTGGACGAATAAGACCTATGCTCGGGTGGGCGGTATCAGTATGACGGAGTTGGCTCTTCTTGAGCTAGAGTTTCTTTTCCGCGTAGAGTGGCGCATTGTTCCTCAGCCGGAAGTGCTTGAGGACTACTACCAGAGTCTAGTTGAAAGATGTGAAGGATACGAGATCCTACGCGAAACTTGAAGGAATAGGTTTCGTTGCAACACATGCCTTCTATTTCCCATTTGCTCGACCTAGATGAGGTTTGAGATTACTTGCATAGCATGCAGCAGCGTTGGTCACCGTTTTTAAAATTCTATGAAGGGGGTCAGCGATATCCCCTGTTGTTTTAGTACATATTACGTTAAAAGAAAGGTACAGACAGATGACTGTGCTAATACATAAATCCAACTGTGGTGGATGATCTTTTTCTTTTTCTTTCTTTTCCTTTTTTATTTACCCATTTCTTTCGTGTTTTCGGTTGATTTATTTTTGTTTTTTCTTCATCGCATCCATTTCTTTTACTATATTTTCAGGCTGTATATCGAGCTATATTGGTGTTATTGTGACCGGCGTCAAGGAGAGTACCTACTATAGCACTGTACCTACTACCCTGAAACAATGTGTGCATACGACTAAGTACTTAAAGCCGAACCTTACTGGTCGTGCAATCATAGTAGTGTTTTCATCCAATCATCATTATCAGGCTGATCAATCCGAACGCAACATAAAATGATGACGTTCCTCCCTGCCTCAGGCTATAACCTGCTAGTCTCGAAACAGCTGAGGGTAGGGCTTAGGTCATAGGGTACAGGGTTGCTGCGATCCATGGAAACATGTCGATCTCGACTTCTCTATCAGTCCTTCCCTCAATGGAACCCCGGCGATCAGAAACAATGCAATTTCCGCCGTTGCAAGGTCAGAAAAATGCAGTGAACGAAATCTGTTAGCCCCTACACATTATTCTTCTTTGAGCGGCCCAAATTCCCCGTCGCTAGCAAGTCGATACCCCGCGACCCAAAGGGTTATTTCAAAATATGTACGACCCAATGGATATACAAGAGATACTCGGCGGCGTAGAGCCACTTCCTGGAGAGGTTATCCCTGTCAGAACTGTTCAAGAGGCGCGGCCCCGTGAAGAATTCGGTGCGTTCCCCCACCGGCAGGGTGGAAACTGGCGGCGCAATTAACAATTCGCAGCGGATGCATATGTAACAGAAATTAGCGTGAAAAGTGCTTCGAAAGTGATAAAGTAAGCTTTTTTTGATACAATCACTACCTGGGCAGTGCATTGACCGGTAACAAACAGGGCTTTGGATAGTGCCTTTCCTCGCGATCCTTCTCGTCCTCTGAACCATCTTCGACGCTTCGCAAAGCATACCCAGCTACCCGATGGCCTACGATCCACCCTTATAAAGGGAGAATCATCGACACAGACCATTTTCACTCTGATTACACCTCCTTTACCCGAAGCAGAAACAATTCAGAAACTATTGGCTCCTTTTGCGCCACCATCAGAAATCCCGTCCGAGCCGACTCAAGAGGTAGGGAATATTGAACTCCAGACTATTTGCGTCCCACTGGAGCCACCCTTGACGGTTGAACAAGCTGAGAAATGGTCTAAAACCATGTGGCCCGTCGTCTTCAACCCTGCGACCCCTAGAGCTACTCTTGCGCCACCTCCTCAAACCTTGAACCGTGTTCTTGACTCCATCAAGCCGAAGGCAGGACGCTATCTAGCCCTGGCGCGCAAGGTTGCCAATGAAGCAGAGAATTCTGGACTAGGACGCGGGGTTGGCGCAGTGGTTGTCGATCCAGAACTCGAGGCTCAGATTGGTGCGACCAACGAGAATGTAGGAATCCATTGGGCCGATGCTATTGTGGCTGTTGCAGGTGACGTACGATACGCACGCCCAGAGGCCGGAGCAATGTCAGAGTCAGAACGACAGCTAGGTGCAGGGCCCAATCCCAATGTGCAGAAGTATAATTCAGACGTAGAAGGCGGACCGGAGCTACACGCGCTAATGCGCGCCGCCGACTTGGTTGCTGATGGGAGACGTAAACAAGATGGAAACGAGTCCAACGAAAAGATACCTTTGAATCGATTGGAGGAGTTTTTCCTTTCTCAATCGGACGTCTCTTATTCCAAGCTATTGGCTGACCCCGATGATTCATCGCCTGTGCCGGGAAAGTATCAGAAAACAGATACCGGAGCCATCCCCAAATCTACCGACAGTTCTCGAGAACCTCGACTTCGCTCGCGTGCTCAAGGCGGCTACCTCTGCACGGACCTTGACGTGTACTTGACGCATGAGCCTTGCATTTGTTGCTCGATGGGCCTTCTTCTTTCGCGGTTTCGGGCGGTTATATTTCCCCGACAAGGACGGATGATAACGGGAGGTCTGGCATCGGAACCTGTCATTGCACCAGTCCCAGTGTCGGACCTCGCGGACGAGAACTCTGAAACAACGCAGGATCAGAATCAGCACGAGTCAGAAGATAGAAAGCCCATTGAGCATGCCGAACCCCAGTCAGGCCGGTTGTATTATGGATTGCACTGGCGGAAAGAATTGAACTGGCGGGCTCTGGGATTCGAGTTCGTCGAGGAGGGAGTCACAGAGCAGAGTGCTGAGGAAGGCCTGGCCTTTCACGCATAAAACCTACACAAGATTACAAAACACCATGTACTATATAGACCTCCGGAGACACGATCTACGAAATAGGGAGGGACATAGAACTTAAAATCTGATGACAGTATCAATGATAACCGGTATATACAACCAAATGCTCGATTGCTTCCTCGCTATTGAAACAAATTCTGAGGAACTAATAACTCACAACTTCCCAATCCCAAGATCCAGCTTTGTCCATCACACACTAGCACACTCTCAAACAAGCGTCACATAGATCTTAGCAATCCGCTGATCCACATGAGCATACTGCTTGATTCCCTTTCCATCCTCATCCACCCCCTCCTGGTCCTTAATATTAAGCTGGGCAACAATCTTCCCCCGAAAGGGAGCAGGTGGGTTCGACCAAACCCCAATAACAGCATCATGGAAGCATGGAATCTCAATGCCCTTAAAGCCCTTACTCGCCGCATCGCGCATCAGCCAATGCGCCGTCCGCTTCATCAGCCCGTACCCCTCGTAATCGGCCCTCGTCGAAGTTCCATTCCTCATCAACGTCCCCTCATGCGTCGTCACCTCTCCACGAGAATCGATGTCAACCAGCCGTTGCAGTAGCTTGGGGAATAAAGGCAGCACTCCGAACAGCGGCTTCAGCCGGTCGAGATCTAGCGGATTAGATCCGTTGTAGCTCATCGCTACTGAGACCAGTGGGAAGTCCATCTGTTCGATGAGCTGCTCGTTGGTTACGGTCTCATCGTTCAGGTCCCAGTGGAGTTTGCCCCCGGTTTGCTCGGACGAGGGCAGTTTGTACTTGTATTCCTTGTCGAAGACGCCGTAGGATAGGCCCGAAGCAATTTGGTGCGCGATTAGGTACTCGCTGCCAAGGAAGCCTTGGTAAAGGCGCCTGGTCTTGTCCATCGGGTAGACGTTGGGCCAGATTGGTGAGCAGAAGACATTGCTGTGGATGACGATTGCGTTGGCCCAGTCTTGGTGTTCGAGACCGAGTTGGCGGATCTCAAACCGGGGGGTTAATCTAATGGGGCTTGACATGGTGCAATGTAAATATCCTTTAAAAGGGAGAAGCAGGTTGGAGGATGAGTTTGAGAGTGTTTTGGTTCGTGGGGTGTTCAAACGGAGGAGGGGCCAGGGTTGTACTACTAATCAAACCCATGTAAGCTGACGGTGTTTACGTACTATCGGTGGTACGGTCTTCGTCCAGACTCCGCGGATTCTTGTATTGAAGTGTAGAGGTGGAGTTTCCTATGTACAAGAGTTTCCGTAGGATGGGTTCATTCTAGTTTCCTAGAACAACCAGACATGTGTAGTCCTGCTTTTCGCTTCTCTCAATCAGAAAAGACCGTAGCAATAGAAGGGAACCCTTCATTTACGGCAAAGTCAGGTTGGTTGGCCTAGAGTTTGGTAGGGCCACGTTCGAATAGACTTGGTTTGAAGTGGGTTTAATCCCTATAATAAGAAACCAAGGGGGCAACGACGTCTAGATTCACACAGAATTCACACAACTGAAGCCAAATCTACACCATCCAGGTATAAAAAATCATTAAAAGTACCATTCGCCTAATATGCATCAATCTTGTCATAGCCATTGCTCATCTCAGCCATAACAGCCCTTTGTAGAGCTAACGTAGGTATGCCCAAGGCCGCCCACCATAATGTCCTGACACTGTCAAGATGGAAGCACTATCTTTTTTTCTTTTTCCTTTCCTTTCCTTTTCATCTATAAGCCATTGCCTTGCCATACGTCGATACCCGAGGAGTCCAGGCATGAGAAACCTCAAATTAACTGGCTGTTCTCTCTCTCCCTCTCTCTTTTCTTTTCTTCCCTCTTTTTTTTTTTTTTTTTTTTTTCATCGCCCACAGATATCACCCTCCTTTCTGCCATTAATTGCATTAAATATGCGTGACTAACATAAGACAAACCAAAGGTAGTTGATTATTCAATTGCGGCCTCGTACGACGGCATCAAAAAGTGCACCAGGTGAGTAGATCACAGATCTAGCCACGGAGCTCTCGAGCGCGGCGTGAAAGGAAGGGGATTTTGCGAATAACAGGGTCATGTGGTGCGTTTTTAGCGACAGACATGTACAAAATATCCAGTCGTTGGAGGAGAATATCCATGATCCTGGGTGCAACTTCCCGAATGTCCGGATCCTAAAACATGTCAGTAAGATCCGTATGCCTTGATACTTTTGTACATACCATAGGATTTACTGTCTGCAGAACAACTTCCAGCCACTTAAGGCGTTCTGCAACATTTGTTTGCAGAGATGAGGTGACCGCAACTCCAACGGAAAGCGTCACAATAGGGGAGAGGCCGGTTAAGTAGGCTGGGTCTAAGCTGATGAAGAGGTTGTCAAATAGATCTGCTTGCTGGTTGGATTGAAGCCACTAGTTGCATAACGATAAGTAATCTCTTCGAAGCATGTTGAAATGGGCACAAACCTTGACTGAACCCTCTTCGAATCTGCCTTGGCTCATTAACTGAGCAATCTCCGCTAGTTCTGCGTCCTCGGCAGACTGTGTCTCGCTAGGTGTAGCAGCCATGGCGCTCGTCGGCTGTTGCGAAGCTTGTCTGTTTTCTTGCTGACCCACGGCGCGATTAAGCCTCAAAACCTCGTTCTGGAAACTAGCCTGCGCCGCGGCCATTGAAGCCACTGTATCTGACAGACCACGGACAAGATTAGTGAGCTGGTCGATTTTAGCGGCATCATTCTGACGTTGAACCTCGTATTGCTTGAGATGTGCCTGTAGTTGCTTCTCCATGTCGGACCCAGCCTTCTCTACAATACGTGTAGAAAGAGTATTGAAAGCTGGCGTGACCGTGTGTTGAACGGCATTTGATATTTCGGCTTCAAGACCAGGCAAAAGCTTCTGACCCACAGCTTCCGACAGGGACTTCACAATTTCAGGTTGCTGGATAGCACGGGAAACAGTGTCAGGCAGAGCCTGGCGTAGTTCACGAGGAAGGGAAGCCCCTATTTGTTGACCGACAACATTATCCAATTGTTTACCGACAGCTGCCGATGTTAGGTTTGCCAAAGCAGGCACTACTTCCGACTGGATGCTGCTCGAAACGATGCGTGCGAGATTCTTTTCGACGTTGTTAGAAAGAGTGTCAGAGACCAACCGCAGAACTTGATCTTGCTTGGCTGCGGAAGCCGCATCCCAGCTGCGTCGCTCTTCGTCAAAGCGCTGATACAGTCCTTCAAGTTCCCGACCAAGGCTCTTGTTAAATTCAGCAGACACACCGGTTTGCAACACCTCCACGTGTTTATTCCAGATGTCGCTCGGCTCGACGCCACTGGCATTAACCGGCGCAGCACTGGTTGTGATCGATTTCGACACATCTCCATTAAGTTGTTCAACAGCGGCCTGAGCCTGGGTCGCGGCTGCAAGGCCCTCACTTGAGCTAGTGACGGAGGGAGCATTCGTTTCTTTTGCTTTAACTGGCGCTTCAACAGGAGTTGTACCCTTCTTTTTCTTCTTCTTTTCAGGCTTCTCCCCGGCATTGGGTGGAGTTGCTGACTCGGCTGGCTCTTCCCCTGCCTTTTTCTTTGGAGCGGGCTTACTGGGAGACTGGGTCCTTGAAACAGTAGCACTAGCCACAGCGCTGGCTTCGGCGCCTGGATCAGGGGTCTTCCTGGCAATCTCCTTAGGTGCTGTCTTAGTTGGAGTGGGCGCAGCGTCACCATTGATAGAAGGATCGTCCGTAACATACGCCGGAAAAGTTTGAAGCTCGGAGATGTCAATAAGTCCTTGCTCCAAGGCATTAACGGGTCGGATGATCTTGTTATCGGAGCTCCAACCAAGATCTTCCTTCTTGATGTTCAGGCAGGTTACTCCCCGTGAGTGCATAACGTAGAGCTCAAACAACCCGTTTTCGTCTCCGGCTGTCTTGTTGATTGGAAGAAGGTCCAGACTTCGCAGCTGACCCTTTGAAGCGAACGAGATCTCTCGAATGCCGCTCATGCATGCAGTCGATTCTGGTTTGGGAAGGCTGCCATCCTTTTCACCTGAGCGTTTGATGAAGGAGGCCTGGGACATGGACTGTAAGTTGTATCTGGGTGCAGACAGATGAACAAAGTATATCGAGTTGCGTGTAGGATGTCCAACAACGATAATACCGGAGCCGGGATGATATGCGACACTACAAATAGCATCCGACTCGTTCTCATGGGGGAACTTAAGCTCCTGCACAGCCTTGCCTAGCCCAATATCCCAGAGCTGCAAGGTGTGATTCTGCTTAAGACCAACTAAGACGTAACGAAGAGCCATAGACTTCACATAAGGGCGCAACTTGTCAATGAAAAGCACAGATGTTGGCCACGACTTCTCAGCAGGAGAGCCGGTTACAAAGGTGTTCAATGGTACGCGGACTTCCGAGGGACTGGGTCCAATAGCGAAGAAAGAGGGGTTATTAACAACATCACGGATGTCCCAAAAACGCAAACGACCTGTTTTGTCTAGGGAGGCAATAACAGTGTCATCGTCACTGAACATGAAGTCCTTGCCGGCCTTGCCGGTAGATATCTTCAAGGCACGCTCTTTGAAAAATTTCTCCGTGTTAACGGTACGCTGTGTGCCGGAGACACCGTAACTGAGGTTTGCAGCAGATTGCGGAGAGATCACGTAGATGTTTTTGCCGCGACCTATTGCGAAGAACCCTGGATGGCGAGAGCTCCGTTTGGCACGCGTTTTCAGCTGGCCACCCGAAGTATTCTCATCTGAGGCTGGGAACGGAGGGAAGATGAGACTCTCGCTTTCCAAAGCATCCATTTCAAAGAGGTCCTTGTCTCCATTCGAAATCAATGCCCAGTATACAGCACCACTAACGCCGATGCCCAGGACCGCCTGTTCATCGGATGTACCTGTCGTTGTCTGGGAGGTACAGACAGCGACATTAAACACACGATCGCGGGTGGAGCGGAACGCTTGTTTGTCACTTCCATCATCCTGGCGGATTATTCTCATACCTCCATTCTTGGCCAGGGCATAGACGATGTAATCGGAGGTAGCTGAGGTCAGCGAGCGATCCAATTGGTCGAACTCCTTCTTCAATCTTGCGATATCCATGATTCCATCATCACGAAGAGTAGTAAGATTATCAGAGTCTTGGGCCTTCACGGAAATGGAAATAAACGGCTTCAAGGGGAAATTATGTACCGGTACGATACGCTCCTCTTCCTTCTGGGCGCTATCTTCAGCACTCTCCCAGCTATCAGCTAAAGCATCACCGCCGCTATTGTTGGAAGTCTCCTTCACAGCAAAAGTATCAGCAGTAGTATCCTTGATTGTCCCGGGATTTCCATTCTCCTGGGCAGCTTCTCTGGCTTCAGCAGCGGTCTCTCGAAGGTGGCTGGCGATCGACGACAGGGTCTCTTGCGTGTTTTCTTCCCGAGTCATCAGCACAACAGGCGTGCTCTCTTCCTTGGAAGCTTTGGCGACCGCTTCATCAACGTCGCGAACGATCTGGCTGACGAGATTATCAACTACTTGGGACACAGCTTCCTTCTGCTCTTCTGCCAAGCTCGGAGACTTGGCACGTGCTACCTCCTGAGTGGTCTCTTCCTTAGTGATGATTTTCTTGCTTCCCGTGGCCTCTACGGCAGGGCTCTCACTCCGAGACTTCGGCTGGGGAGTTCCCTTGCGAGGAGAAGCAGCGGCAAGTTGGTCGAAGGGGTTGACGTATGTGAACAAGGTCTCCTTGCCAGAGGGAGAGGGCTTGGCCTGATGAGAGGCGAGAGCATCCGGTTTCCCGGTCATGATCTCCTCAGGGGGAGAGCCTAGAGCCAGAGACTCCTCTACAGCCTGAACTGAGGCCATCGTAGGGTTTCCCGAGACAGCCTCGGCCATAGGAGACTTCTGGGGAGAAATAGAAGTCAGCGGCTTAGAAACTGGCTTCACCGGTCCCTCAGAAGCTTCTTGGCCTGGCTTGGGGCGGTTGAGCAAGCGAAGCAGCATCTCCTGGGTGTTCTCGGCGGTGGGAACAACCGAGTTTTCACCAGCAGTGACGGCGGGTCCAGATTGACCAAACTGCGCACCAGCAGGTTTGACAGGAGCCGCGGCTCCCTGTCGGCCGAAGAGAGTAGCAACAAAATCGGACGCGGAGATGTTTCTCGCGTGGGACTTCGTAGCTTCCGGGCCAGCTTCGTGACTGTGAGACGGCTTCGGCTGTTCCAGCCCGAAAAGCGACGGCTGCTGGGAAGCCGTAGATGCTGCAGACTGGTTGAACTTCAGCAGATTAAGCAGATTGGCAGCACGATCGGGATTCTGGGGCATCGGCTGATGCTGCTGGGGAGGGAACATCTCCCCACGCGACGTTGGAGCATTAGGACTGAGAATGTCCGAGCCATGATGAGGCGGAGTATTCACTGGGGAGGGACTGTGAATGGTGGACGAGACCGATGGGTGGCGGTAACCATGCTGTTGCAGCTGGGGATGAGGAAAGCTCTGCCCGTCATAAGGTGGCTGCTGGGGACGTAATCCGGACTGGTACTGCTGAGAATACTGCATGGGAGCATCCTGGCCAGGCGTATTCGACGGAGAAGGACGTGGCCTGATGCTCGCGAGCAGAGCCTGGAGATCATTGGGGGTGGACATTTCTGTCACTCGCCGCGGTGAAGGCGACCTCCAACCGATATCCAAGCTCCAACAACGTACTTTTCACGAGCTCTCTTTCGAGAGCCAAAAGGAGAGTAAGCAGCTGAAGCTGGTCTGATAAAAGAATGAGATACAAATGATAAGAGAGAATCAACCGATGAAACGAAGCCAAATGACCGACTATTATACAAGGATTGAGGGGGGGAGGGAAGAAGTTCAAGAAGGAAGAAGAACAGAAATCATCAAAAGAGAAGAGGAAGCAAAGGCCCGATGTGGCTCTGTGTGTGGCTAGAGTGCGGCTGTGAATTACACTAGGTGACGTATTGATGGTACGGTATTATTTCCGTCCGATGATGCTGGAAAACCCTCAAAAGAAGCAGAAGGACAACAACAGCACCGATGGAGAACAAGTGCATGGTTTGATGGATGATTATTATCCACTTATTTAGACTCACCTCAAGGGAAAGTGTCCAATCTGTATATCGTGTTTTTTGCTCCATCTTTCCCACCTGCTGTGAAGCCCCAGAGCCTCTGAACTCTCCTTCGCCACTGAATCTCCGTCCCGCTCTTCTCTTCTCTCACAACGGTAACTTTTTTTTGATCGGTGGTATCTTCGACGCACGTCACATAGCTATCAGCTAGATCTCAACATGTTTTGTCTACGAAGGTGGGCTACCCAGCGATGCCCATATCACTTCCGTTCGATAGGCCGAGTACTAATAAGTGTTACCCTTTATATAGCTGGTTACCTCTCCTATTCATCCCGACCAATGCCTCCCCGCTTTTCATTGTCTCCTTCGTCACTCTAACCTACATTCTCCATCGTCCATGTATCTACTGCTCAGCTCTTCTTCTAATCCTCTTTATCTCATCCTGTCATTGGTCAGATCGCTGTTTCTTTGACCTTCGTGGTGACTGGTTTGCGCCTCGCTACGCTTCCGACCCGAGCGCCTCTTTGGTCGCTCCCAACGAGACAGTCGCCGGCTATATCTTGGAGACTGTGAATACTACGACAAAAACCCTGGCTGGTGTAGTAGTCGACGAGGCGCAACGTCGTCTGGCGCTGAACGGGTCGTCGGCTGCCGCAGGAATGGGCGGGTTGGGACAGGAGGAATGGACTGGGGTTGGGCTGGAGTGGTTGCGCAGTTTGCTTGGACGACGGGAGTGGACGATACCCTGTGTCGACGTCAAAGTCCGGCTATAGAGATAGTTTGCCTTGGTGCTCTACTTGCGGCCGATCGAATATTTTCCTTTCCGTTTCCGTTTCATTCTTGACAAATCTAGAATGGTTTCTGACAATACAGAATGTATACCCCACGCCTGCCACGACGAAGAGCTTTGGAACGTCGAGCAGCAAGTGATCCCTTTCAGCAAAAACATAGGATACTGATTCAGTGGTTACTCTTTGCACTGCCTTCGAACTTTTCGCCCGCGCGTATATCCTCCGCACTTCTGTGCGACAGTTGACCGGGTTTGACGTTTTCTTGGAAGGCATTGTATATAAATAAACTCTAATATATTCATCTGCTAAATAGCTTCAAATAGACAAAGTTCATATTCGACTTTAGGAAGCACGTGAAGGAGCGTGCCGAGTTGATGATGAGGCGGTTATGATGCAGTTTAGCCTCGAACGGGCCACAACACACGTATAAGGACTTCAAGGTCAAGGATCAATTATGTAGCGTAAGGCATGCACTAATTACAAGCAAATAGGTATCTAACGATAAAGGGAATACACCAACAGTGACCAGATGCTTTTGAAGATAAGCAGATCACATCCACATCATGAAAGAAGCAGTAAGATCGTAGACAAGCATAACCACGCCGAGGCACGTCAAACAGTATCATGAAGCATAAAAATATAGAACAGAGTATCAGCATGGTATCAAAACAGGTCTCTCTGTGAGTCTCTGTTAAGAGCGTCAAAAACAGGAGTTCAGGAAATGAGTATAGGCATCGAATATTCGGAGGTAAGGATCGTGAGCTAGTTTCAGTACTATAGTCGGGCAAGGATCGTCGTAGAGTAATATGGGTCAAGGTAAGACGAAAGCTTGGTCTGAAGTAGGGAACGAACAAGTAGATGAATCGTCTAGTTGTATCCGCCGGGTGGTCCCGTTGGCATGGGCCAGTCGTCTTCGGTGATACTGCTCCAAAAGACCCATATCATAACTACTGATAGGAGGGTGAACAGAGTCTCGAACAATGCACCGTTGATCTTCCCGTTCGTGGCCTGACAGAGGTGGGTGCTGATGACATATTCGAAAATCTGGCCGATAGCGAAGAGCAAGCCAGCACCAGATAAGTAAACTATTTTCGATGTCAGAGAATGGCTGCCTAACACTGCAGAAGGGTTAAGAAGGTAAACATACGCATTGGACGGGACTCGCCTAGTATCCGGATCACCAACACGGCCTCCAAAACGAAGAATACCACCAGACAAACGAGTGGGAAAAGTTGGTAGAGCACATAGAGAGCAATGTTTCGGTACTCGGTTGACGGGTCAGGCTTGAACTCGCCGGTCCAGTTGAATCCTGTATCCAAAGCAATATAGCCAGTGCCAATGAAGAATACCAAAGCGGACGCTGAGATGAGACCGAGCGACGCAGGCGTGCCATCATCGAGAAATTGGTAGCCCACCAAGGCGTTCAACAATAGCACCCAACATGTAGCGGTGATCGCGGCGATGTGCGCTGCAGAAAATCCCTGCATGTGACTGTTAGAATTCCTAACTGGTTATGGCTGGGCAAAGAAATCCAAACATACTTTCCGGACCGCTGCGTCCAGAGGGAAAGCACCAACGCTAAAAATTTCGCAGATTTCGATAACTATGAAGCCGAGCAAGAACAGTTGTATCTCTCTATGATATTCCCCAAATCAGCTGCTGGCCATTGTCTTTGTTTCTGTTCAATTTCACTGTGTACCTTCTCCCCACTGCTGCCTGTTTTCGCTCAGACCTCCATAGCAGCAAAAACGATGTTAGGATGGCAATGAAGGCAAGTAAGATAGAGCCTGCAACGTGTTAGTCTCCAATCGCACGAATTATCCTGCACGGACTTTATCATTATCTCATACCTAGATTTCCCAGATTTCGATTACCACTAAGCGTAATACCCGTGAGCGGGCAACCGCCGAATGCATTGTTAGGGGGTTGGTTTTTGTCAACGAAAAGCTAGACGGAGGATTGACAAGTCAACGACAACCCTGCCAATTAAGTAGGCGTGACGTTAAAAAGCAAGGGAAAAGTCGCTTCACATACGTTGCAGACTGGTAATGTAGAATCTCGACAGAAGTCCTAAACGGATGGAGAATCGGCGGTCAGCATAGTTCCGGAGCCGGCATTTGGCGTTTGTCGCGAACTCACGTGGAACTTCCCAAATTGCGTCGAGCCCATAATTTTGATAAACGCTTAAACGAGAGATCATGCGAGATATGTAGGAAAGCAAGAGAAAGTGGGCGCGGTGTGGTGCTGGTGGCGTGGTAGTGCTGGGGCTTAAATTGGTCGATTTCCTCGGACCCGCTGAGGACCGTTACGATCGGTCCGGCGCAGATCTGAGGCGCAGAACAAGCGGTATGATTGCTGATGATTATCGGTATTGATTTAATTCGGACGGCTCGTCAACGCCCTTCGTCTCTTGAATGAGGTGGAGGGGAATTCACGGATTAATAGGAAAATGTTCCGGATTTTTGACACGTCAAGTTGTATGTCAATAACTCTGCAGCGTGACGAGACCAGTGGAGAGATGGACAAATTAGGAAGTAAAAGACGGCGAGGTTGAGCAAATTAACAAGATACCGGGGCAACCGAGAGAGCAGGCGACGTATGTACTATGTGTGGGACCGATGTATACTGTATGTACAAAGAGAGAACTGTCAGGTTTTGAACAGGTCGAAGGAAAATGTAGAAGACTGGTGGAGAGAGGGAAAAAGGCGATGGCGGTGTTGGTCCTGGAAGTCGGCAGAGGGGGAGGGAAAAAAAAAGAGAAGAGAGAAAAAGAAAAATAACTGAGTTATGGATGTGCTGTAGGAAGAGGCAAGTGGTAATTCTTAGCCAACAATTTTCATAGGCGCAAAACGGCAAAAGGGCACTAAAGAATGATGGTTCGTCTCGACTTAGACTAGACCCAAGACCTAGTGGATGAAAAAGTGGGCAAAGCACAGTCTCCAGCCAACTAATTTGATACTTTATTCTTTGCCGATTTGAGAAGGATAAAAAATTAAAAAAAAAAAAAAGAATTTAACCCTGCAGCAAAGATGCAACTCAGGAACACAAGTGGAAGATGGTTGGTTGGCTGGGCCCTCCCGTCAATCAGGGATACCACGCGAGGCTGGTGAGGCTGGTGAGGCTGGTTAGCCTATGATCATCAGTTGATGGTGATATATATTGATTCAGTATGTTCAAATCGACTTCACGGTGGTGGATGAAGTATTAAGATCTTAACTTGTCTCCTTCCACCCTTACATATAGATCGGATGTAGTTCACCCATGGTTAATAGTTGGTGTCCCTGGACTCGGGTAAGGTTCCCGTCCGACGTGATGGACCATTTCCCCAGTTTCTATTTCTGGTATATTGATTGCCTGAACACTAAGGAACCAAGAAACCCACATGGTGTCTCTGCCAATAAGAACCTCTCCGTGCACTAATTGATGTTGGTTACTTGGTATCTGCTAGTAGTACTTAACAGTACCTAGGTGAGTATCTCCAACTACTCCTCGGTAACTACTAAGCATTTATGGCATCATATATTATTCGAAGAAAACGAACTCTTCAAATCATAACATATCAAGATTCGGGCAATACACAACCGAATGGTAACATTGGAACCACAGCTTTTGTTTTTGTGCGAGTATGTGAAACGGTTCCATGAAAGGGAATTATCGCAACCTCAGCTCCCACTACAAGCCGCTGCACGCCACTGTGACATCTCAGCCAAGGGATATCCCCCCCTTCCTTTTTTTTTTTTTTTCTTTCTTTACTTTCATACAGATTACACGATAAAGTTACACAGAGACGACGTCTTCAGTCCCCACCCCCTCAACACCAAAAGGATGTATTTGCTATTAGCAGAGTCAGTATTTACTAGGAGTATTTCTAGTCTTCATTATACTCGAGTCGGGCCAGTCATACATGCACCAATGGATTTAACATTATTACCGCGTAGTAGCAGTAGTAGCGAACAAATTTTGGTTCCCTTATTGGAAAGATAACTCTATCTGTCTTGCTCGATCCCGATATAATCCGGTATAGGTAAGGAAGGATTCTTAGGACTCTGTACGGAGTAGACACGAATGATTTATGTTCTGCAATACCTTTTTACGCATATACTTCCCCAAGACATCAGATTGTTCTACGTTAGCTATGTACCTACCTACGAGAGTAATCTAGCCACGCGCACAATGGAGCTAACCATAACGACGCTTCTGTAAGACATTATGCATTTTTTCCAAGAAAATGTGTCCGACTATATTGCACAGTAGTGTATATCGTGGTTATGCTGCCTTGGACCTACTCAGCTACTTAACTGCTGTTTTACTTTCTTGGAGCTAAGTCGTCCCTTGCTTCGCTTATACCCACACACATACGTTAGGTTCACGGACTTCCTTGCGGAGGGGCTCCTTGTAGGAGGATATTTCAACCATTTCAGAAGCCTGACATGAGTACGAATCGAGGGTCAATTATGGAGTCCTTCATGGCAATCGTCCAGATTCGTACGCAACCACTACCTACTGCGATTCTACAGGTCATACGAGCTTTTCAACATACATCCTCGATCTCCAATTTCTTGCCATCGTGCTCACCCAGGTCCAGTTTCAGTGTCCGTCCAAACAGCTCGAGTAGCATCTCGAAACAAACCTTGGTGATGGCAGGGTCATATCGTCCCTTGCTCAGTTCATCACGAATAAATGCGTCTATCGGATAATAATGTCAGTCGGACCAATTCCAAGTGCTATTATCTCTCTTAATACAATGGGCAACGTACGTTGAGCCCAAGCCACCTCGTAAAAGCTAAACAAGACCCCCTTGTCATGAAGTGTTCTGCGAATCAAGTCTCTTCCTTCCGGTGGGACATGGTTATCGTTTTTCCCGAAGATCTAGCACTCCCCGTTAGACTATTGCACAGATGGATTTTCTTGAGAGAAAGGACCAAGTTGCCGAGAGCCATTCGGGAGAATTAGTTTCATGTGGAACGGGAAACACTTGCCATTATCAATTCTCCTTCAATATCCCCTGCTTTGGCTAAGCTATCATCGTTTTTACCGGCGGCAAGGGTCTTGCTGTGGATGTCTGTTGCAAAGTAGCATACTGCTGCCTTTACTCGACTATCCAACGCACAGCGGTACGCAAGATGGCCACCAAGGCACATACCCGTCGCGCCCACTCGACCATTGCACGTGGGCAGTGACAAGAGATAGTCGACACACAGTGATGCGTCCTCATCGTACGCAGCCAGTTTCTGTAATCTGATCAGCGGAAATCCCCGTCAGATACCTCAGGTTTCTGGGTTATCAAATGTCATACCTTGCTGACTTTCCATTTGTTGCCTTTATCCGTGTCCTCGGCATTGTATTCCAATGGCTCTGGACCGGTGAATTCGTGATAGCTAGAGGGAGCAGCGCAAATATATCCTTGACCAGCGATTTGCCTAGCAAACCGTGAAACAGGTCCAGTCACTATAGAGGTTAGGGCACCAGAAATTTGGGGAGTGAAAAGCAAAGTACCTTGATAGATCTCACTGAATACCACTACGCCAGGGAATCGGGCCTTTGGATAGCCAGGGATAGTGGGATGGAATACATAGATACCTTCATAGACACAGCCATGTTAGCTCGGTGACCTCTACTCATCAATGAAAAGAGCCCATCTGAGCCTTCAAGCTCAAATCTGAAAAGATCTGAAAAGATAAATTGCAAGGAGAAAGCCTCACGCATGGCTCCATTCCCATCTGCCTTGGTTGGCACATCGTGGAAAGACTCTTGAATTAACATTTCTAGCTGAAACCGTACGTAAATCGTACGATAATTTGCGATTACAACGCGTGATTGATTAATTGATTGATATGTCTTGGAGACTTAAATCAAATGAGAATTTAGCTTTCAATTAGCTATCAAAGGTTAGCAGCGGGCCTGCGGGGAAGATTGTCCGATAAGATCGAGGCCCCCTAGTCATGTGACTCGAGATGCGGGAGGAGCTGCCTGCAATCAGAATACTCAGCTTGGCCTGGACAGTGTAGAATGCCCATAGTTTCGAATATATCTGAGAGTTATTTTCAGATCCGATGCCACAGACTGGAAGAGGCGATCTTCAAGCAGCCAAGAATACACTATGCTTTTGGTCAATGTGTAGCAGACACCCGCTCCTTCCTCATCAGTCCTCCTGCCATCCTTCCCTATCGGTCATCATCTTTTGTTGAGCAGAAACCATAGTTTTAGAAGATAGACAACTACTTCTGACCTTTTTTTCCTACTGCTTTCTTTGCTCGTAGCACAATGACGACACACGGATGCTGCTGTGCTGTAAATTGCTCAATTAATACCAATAGATCGATTGGACCCCGCCACCTGCCCTGCGATCAAGATTAACACGTATAACGCCAGTCCCAAAAACCAGCCCACGTTTTGTACAACATTTTCCTCCCTTCGAGATTAGATATTAATAAAGAAATAGAGCAAGATAGAAAAGCACGTGTCCCAAAAAGATAGAAGCCAATCAATAATTTACATCGAAAGATACATATTAAAATCTAAATCAAGATAAAAGAAAACTCATTGCTGGGGGGAACGAAGTGAATACCGATGCTCTAAGCAATGGCCACGAGCGGAATTCACAGCAGAGTCGGCCTGTGAACAATAAAGAAGCATACCCAAACAATCCCCATAGAACTTAGAGAACTCTGGGAGGTGGGCCACCCATAAGTGCAGCTTTTCGCAACGCGCCCGCTAGTAAGGTAGCTAGGTGACATTTTGCATGTATGGCTGTTTTCTCAAAACACGTACTTTATAACAGATCAGTCCACATATTCCACTGCCAGTGATTCAGTGAGATTGAACTTACAGGAATGAAAAGATAAGGAACCCGTCTTTCATACTCTAACCACGCTTCACCGTATTTGTTGCGACAGCGCTGGATATCTCGCAAAGCACGGTGAGAGATCATGCATGCAAAGAATACAGGGTAGAACCAAGGGAATGGGCTGCTGAAGCCAGTGATAAGACCCCAGTTCAACGCAAAGAAAAGATCGCACGTGTAGTGGATCTTACGAGCTTTGCCGTCTGTGCACATGTCAGCTCAATTCATCTGTCATTCATACTCAAGAATAATAGTATAGTTCACTTACACCATCCATCCACCAAGATCTTGGAGCCATCTTCAGCCGTGATGGTCTTCGGGTTTTCCAATGTTTGCCATGGAAGCTGCGGGAACGTATTCCGAAAGACCATTGTTCCGCGCTCCTGCTGACGGTAACGGTTCTTCTGACTATTGGTAGTATCCCAAACCCAATATACAAAGAGATATGCAATATAGAGAAATGTCAAGAAGTAACGGTTCCAGTGATAGGTCGCCGGGTCATGGTTGGCAAGGTAGATCG